AGGACCAACAAGACACAACAGCCACCACGACGCCCGCCAGGCTCCACGGGCCCAAAATACGGCCACGGCCGCGTGCTAGCCTCGTGGACCAGGGCTACTACACAATTAGAGGCTTAGCGCCATCTCGCGGCTTACGCCCGCGGCTGTCGGAGCCTACTATGATTCTTTTATTAAGTATCATCTCTGGCCCATCGTCATCTTCAGAGGCCCATCCTCGGGGACCCTCGCCACCTCATTCCCTAGACGCGAGGGTGTGCGCTCGTGCCTGTCGCACCATGCTGCACCCCGTCGCCAGTGACGACTCCGAGACCCCTGAGCCGACCGCGGATGCAGTGGCGTCTTCGCTTCCTGTCCTGCACCACGCTTCTTCTAGTCAGTGCGCCCAAACTCTGAACCATGCCAACCTTGCCTGTCCCACCCTCAGCCCTGGCTGCTTTCCCACCCCCTCCGCTGCCAAAGTCTCTGTAGTCGCGAGCCCACCGTCGCCGCCTCGACTGCCTTGCCTTGCCTTGCCTCGCCTCGTCCCTTCTTACCCACCCTCACCTTTTCCATTCACCCCGGGCCTCCCTCTCAGCCTATTTCCGCAAGCTCGACGCTCATTCAACTACCTGGACCCCAGCCATTTCCCTCTGCACACCATTGACTTGGCCTTTTTCTTTTCTTTTTTTCCTCTCTTTCTTTCCGTGCCGTTGCGAAGCTTAGCCTCCGCATTTACCACCTGTACATACATCCTATATGCATGCTTCTTATATTAGCCTAACGGCCTGCCCACCACCATCACCACTTTTGCGCGCCCACCCCATGACCAGTCACCAAGAACACCATCTTCGCATCCCCATTGCCTAGACTGCGGACTGCCCTCGTCCGACCCCCTCTCACGGTACGTACATGGATTTTTCCCTCTTGAAACCCGGTTGGGATCAGCGCCACGCGCCTGCAACGGACAACGTCACATCGTCTTGTGCCTGCCTGCCTGGGCTTCCGCCGTGTCCGTATTAGGCTTGCGAGGCCTAGAATGCATGGACTCGCTGTTCATAGCAGCCCTGTTGTTCTCTGCATTATCGTCGACTTTCTTGTTTGCGTCGCCCTGCTTGGGTATCATTTCTCATGCGAGCAGCCTCTTCTGACTTGCATTCCTCTAGGCCTGTCGATGTCTGATACAGGGCACTCTTCTATCGTGCCAATCCTAAAGTCTTTGTCTCACCAAGCCTTCTGGTAACCGGCTATCTGCTGGGCAAGGATTCGCGACCTTGCGCTGTCTCGAATCGTTCGTTCTCGTTCCCAGCTGTCACCTTCATCCACCATCGTACCGGGCCATTTCGCCATCTTGCCTGGTCCATCATTCAAACAGCAAAAGTATTCCGACTGACCACTGTGCATCTTACACGTCCGCATTGGCCATTGGCCGTCCTGTCGCACTTGCATATGTCTCAGTGGTCGCGCAGCCATACCTGTAATCAACTCCTTTCACAACTCGACGGCCCGTCTGGACTACCGCCATCGCCTTTACTTACCTTCACTCCTCTCCATCTCATCCTGGGAGCTTCGCGTTGCGCATCGTCGATCCACAGCAGGCCAGTGTCGATTGACACACCTACCGTCAGCATTTCCACGTTCAATTCATGAGTTACGACCCGAGGTTGGGCGCCGGAGCATACCGTGCGACGGACCCAGAAAGAGATGGAGATTCGAAGCCGGGCTCAGTACGCGCAGCTCGGGAACGGATGCAGGCTGAGCAAAAGAGGACACAGCTCCCAGACACTTCAAAGATCATCGGTCTCCCCCGCCGACCCAACCAACTCGTCTCACAATATTCTCAGGCCAATGCTGGGCCATCGCCAATAAGGCTTGTGCCAGACACCAGAAATGAGATAGAGTCGAGCTCTCCGTCACCACAATGGCCCCTCCCTAGCAGCAGAACCGAGACGTTAGGTCCCCCTCCTGACATTCCGCCACGTTCGCCCAAGAGGATCCGGGCACCACGACAAGACCCTCGCCCCCTGTCCGAAGACTTTCCAATTCAGCAATTATCACCAGACGCGGCCTCTCCGCTTTCCTTTGGCTTCTCACCACGCAACGACAACCTCTCGCCGGGCTCTTTTCAATCTTCCTCCCGTCCAATCACCACGTCATCTATCGCGTCCGATTCCTCGATTGGATCCATACCCGATTTCCCCGTCCCCCAACCGCCCATGCCAAACATACAACAAGCTCGACGATTTCCAAGTATAGGTCCGCCACCCTCTGCGCGAAGAGGACCTTCATCGTACTACACACAAATGTCCTACGTGTCACCCATCGTCGAGGAGTCAGAATCCCATTCTACAGCAATTCATTCGCAACGAGGTTCTTTTGCATCGAGCAATGTGTTTCCCAGCAACGCAGATGCCTTCTACCCAGACGACGATCCCTTTTCCGATGAAGAAGGAACTATCGATAGCAACATGGACACCCTTTCCGCAAGCGAGCATGACGACCAAAGGGGCCTTGTCCAACCGTCACCAGGTCTGGTGCGACAAGCCAGTCTAGGTAGGCGAACCAAGCCATCGCTCATGACTATCAGATCTGTGGAACCGTCTGGTGAAAAGAAGAATGGCCTGAACAAACCAAGGACAGATGCTTCTGGAATCGCTGCAATCGGGCTGGGTGCAGCAGCGTTATCATCAAGAGATGGTTCTCCCGGAAGGGCTAGGTCGCCTTTGAGCAGGTCGACTTCGTCGGAATCTACAAGCACGCTACAAACATTCAGAATGAAGTCCGCAGTCGGAGCAACCTCGTCGCCGCTTCAACAAGAACTACGCCCAATCGCAATGGGGGACCGCGCTGCCGCACGACGGCCTCCGAGGCTCGACATGGATGCCGTTCGTGACGCTGAGGCGCGTGGTAGTCTCACAAGTTTGCCGGATCTGATTCGGAGAGCGACACGACTCGCATCTAATCTCGACCGTGGACGTACAGCTAGTCGACTGGGCATGGAATTTTGGGAAAGTGGCGCCCCTGAAAAGAACAATGGTCGCCAGTCTGGTCTGTCTGAAATGCTTGCAGCATTTCCTCCGCCTGGCCAGGAAACTCCAGTTCGTTCCGGCTGGGTTACTCCAAACGCCAGCAATGGCGGCAACTCTGACTGGCCTTCGGTCAGAAACTCAGACCGCGCCTTCGCAAACAACGATGCTAAAAACGAGAAACCGGAGAAACGCCGGAGGTGTTGTGGCATGCCACTCTGGACATTTATCACACTTCTGATTGTTTTGCTTTTTGTCATCGCTGCAGCAGTCGTTATCCCGGTTGTCTTGGTCGTCATCCCCAACCAGAACAGGGCGGCTAGCAACAGCGCTGCTCAAGATAACAGAGGAAGCAACAATGGTAACGGTGGTGCGAGCACCACAAACGGTGCGGCCATTCCAGCTCCGACGGCCGGTGCAGGAGATGGTAAATGTTCTGGTGTCATCACCTGTCAAAACCAAGGCGTTGCAATACTCAATGCGGACATGTCATGCAGCTGTATCTGCATCAACGGCTTTACAGGACGCACGTGCACCAACAACGATGCCACCGGATGCACAACCACCAGTATTGCGGGTACGGCAAACAACGCTACCGTGGGCTCCGGTATTCCGCGTCTGATGGAAGAAGCCCCAACTAACTTCAATGTGCCCCTAAATGCAACCTTAATCCTGTCACTGTTCTCGACTCTTTCTCTGAGCTGCGCAGCTGAGAACGCCTTGATAACATTCAACGGCCTGGCTTCTCGATCTGTATCCCAGCACCTACACTCCATGGACTTGCGGACGACCTTCCATCCTTCACGGACACTGTCAGCTCTTCATCACCCCCGTCCTGTGCAAATCCCAGGCCAGCAAATCAAGCGTCAGACGGTCGGCCAGGGCAGCCAGAACTCGGGTGGCACAAATGCTGTGATCACGCAGCCCATCTCTAGCAATGTCGACGCGCTTGACCTTGGCCGCATCGCTGTTCTATTTGCGCTTCAGCAAAGTCGAAGTCTAAACATTGCTGCCAACGCACAGGAATCCATACAGACCCTACTCACCAACAATCGTAACGGCAATTCTAACACTGGAACCGTCGATGTCGGCCCTTTCGAACTGGACATGGTGAATTTCACCATCAAATTTGGAAATGGAACTACAATACAGGCGAAACCTCCCTCCCCATCCACATCTTGAGCATCGTGACTCAATGTCTGCTCATTCTCAACATTTTGCGTTATCTACTCAGCGATACCCTTTTTTTCTTTTTTTGTGTTTCCAATCAACCCTCCCGACCGACCCCCTCTTTTTTCTTTCTTGTCAAATCCCATGTAACAACATCTGAGTCAGTGCACCTACGGCTGTACACAACTGGCCTTCTTCTTCATCTACTGTTCTTTAAAAACGTTTCCCCCATATACCCGTCCTGTGGACGTTTGTCATGACCCTTGGACTGGATCTAATGTTTTTGTACCACTGGATATACCCAAAGATGAAGTTGCAAAAAGCAGTCTTGATCTAGTAGCATAGGAAGGATTTTTAAGTAGCATACTGCATTGAATACAAACTCCAATTGGAAAAGTTGTACAAACAACAAATTTGTCTCTGCACAGTGCTTGTTCTTGATGTGTGAAGCTATGACATGGGAAGATAGCAAAGAAATGGTAATCGGCCAATGTCAAAAAATAGCCATTTTGTTTCATCATCAACACATGAATATTTGCGAACCTTCCTCCATGAATTGCCATGCAGACCAGGCAGCAATACAATTCTTGAAGATGCTATCCTGTCGTCACCATTTTTCACTCTACTACATATATAGCAGGTGCACGTGTTTTCATTCGTTGCTTCTCCCCTTTTACTTTCACTATCTTCCTTGCTATTGGGCTATTCGGTGTCGACCTGAAGAAGGGCAAGCCCAGTGGATGGTCTTGTGAAACTTGGAAAGCATTTGTCCAAGTAGCTTCGTTCTCCTGGAAGCAGACTGCTGATATACTGTTGAGACTCGAGGTAATGGAAGCGCATCTCACCCAAGTACAAAACCAGTCCAAGCCTGTCCCACATCAAGACTCTCCCAACAGTCTCGAGCTTGGCAAAAAGTGCATCAGCTATCGAAGTACCATCATGGAACTTGTCCATGACAACAACTACTTCCGCCTCTTGCTCTGTAGTATGCTGAACGCCCACCACAATATCACCAACGGCAAGCAGCTCAATGCACTCGATGCCGACCATCCATACCGGACCACGCTCATCAAATTCACTCCAGTCCCCAATAAGAAGACTGGTCTCTACATAGGCTACAAGGGGGACGCACTTCGGAGAGAGGATACACTGAACAAAGCGTACCGTGTCAACGTAGAATCACTCGCAAAATGCATTGAACGCGAGCCTTACCACATGGCCATCATCATCCAGCACCGAAGCCATACTATCCCAACAAAGTCCCCGTCAGCTTCGACCCCTTCCTCAAAGACCACTATGTCTTCTCTGGGGCAATCCCTGGCCTGAGCATGCCGCGCTACAAAAACTCCAAGAATCCCTTTAACATCTGCGCCAAGCAACCTAGCCCTATCAAAAACCCCGAGAGCCTCTTCGGACCGCAAATCGAAGACTTTGCCGCTCAGGCCCGATTGAAGTCTTGGAGACTTAGCGGAAATGCTCATGCTGCCACACCGGAACCCAAGGCCTCGCCGGAAGATCCCACAGCCATAGCTTCCCAGCGCACGCAGCTTTACAAATACGTCACTGAGATCAACTTGGGACCCATATCATTTAATTCATACATTCATTTCGCTCCGTACAAAATGTTGAGGCGCGAGGACGCGTCGGCATAGAGAAGCGTCTCGTATCCCCCAGTGCACACATAAGAAAAGCTTTTTTGCCTACATAGCGTCCCTTCTTTATCCTATGCAATAGGGATAGTCCCTTGCGGTACCTGAGTGGCTGGAACCTGGGTGAGAGCCTGAGGAAAGCTCCGTTTTGTAAAGATGGAGGATGGGGCAGGAGTGGAGCATAGGGAGCTTTGGGGTTGGGGCTGATGATGAGTGGACTTGAGAGCGGATCGTGTGCGTGGCGGAGCTTGGGGTTTTCTTTCCCCTGCTATCTTCTTCCTTATGGGCGTGTTTGTATCAGCTGTTTTCTTGTTTTGGGCGTGTGCTCCATGATTGCGACTTGCTCTTCTTGATTTTTGGCCTGTTCTTCCTAGCTTTGGTTTGCTCTTTCAAGTGAAGGGATAGATGGGTAACAGGGGTCATATTGACACAAATTTATTAGAGGTAGAAAAGGAATTCTAGATCAAAGCTTCTTTGCGTGTATCTATCCCAAGTTTCAGGCGATGGACGAAAGACGAACTCCATGGTTCTTGTCAGGCTGTTCAGTACGGAACAGAGGCAGCACCAAAGTTTTCAAAATGGCCACGTGTGTATTGACATAGATGTGGTGTGCAGACGAGATGGCCTGCATATTGGTACGCTCGAGTAATTCGACTTGGTAGGCGTTCAAAGCAGGTGCCAACAATGGCGTTGGCGATCAGGGCAGGGCTGTCCTAGGTAGTACCCCGCCGTGCCCCCACCTACGCAATGCCGCCAATTGCCTGTTCCTGAGCTACCAATTGACACGACAACAGCCACACCCCCTCCACGCCACTCCTGCTACCGCTGCATCCTCACAATCTCTCCAATTCTCCAAATATGCCTCAGGAAGCCTCCAAGGTATCTGACCCCGAAGCTGACGCCAAAGTAGCCGCTGAAGCAGTCGCCGAATCGAGCAAACAAGCAGAGGACGAGTCTGCAAACGAAAGTGGCGATGAGGAGACCGGAACAGCGGAAGGGGCCGAGGGTGCAGCTGGAAAGAAGAAAAAGAGCAAGAAGAATAAGATAAGGGATGCGCTTAGCGGCAAGGGAAAGGCGAGCGAGGTCACGGATTTGAACGCGGCCGCTGGAGGAATTCTGTCCAAGCAAGCTATGAACGTGCTGCTCGCAAGCAACCCTGCGCTTGCGAATGAACTCCAGGGCAAGGTGAACAAAGAGGAGGACCTACAAAAGTTGCTTCAAACGCTCAACCTCAACGAAATGCTCACGGGGCTGGCACCGCAAGGCAGCCGAAAAGATATGGCCAGTCATGCGTTCTGGAAGACACAGCCCGTTCCTAGCTTTGACGAGATGGCAAACAAGGAAAAGATCAAGGACGGACCAATCAAGGAGATTGACATTGAAAAGGTCGACAAGAACCCAAGCCCAATGTACCCTGGCTTTGAATGGGTAACTATGGACTTGGAACAAGAAAAGCAGCTGGAAGAAGTCTACGAGCTGCTCACCAACCACTATGTCGAGGACAAGGATGCAACTTTCCGCTTCAAATACTCGCCGTCATTCTTGAACTGGTAGGAGTGTTGCACCAGTAGACAGCAAACTCAGGCTAACAGCCATAGGGCTCTAAAGGCACCCGGTTGGAAGAAGGAATGGCACGTTGGTGTTCGCGCAACCGCCTCGGGCAAGCTGGTTGCATTCATCTCCGGCATCCCGATACAGATGCGGGTACGCGACAAGGTTCTCAAATGCTCCGAAGTCAACTTCCTCTGCGTCCACAAGAAGCTCCGTTCGAAGCGGTTAGCACCTGTGCTCATCAAGGAAATCACCCGCCGCTGCTACGTTGAAGGTACATTCCAGGCTGTATACACTGTTGGATCCTTATTGCCTACTCCCGTTTCAACCGCCAGATATTTCCACCGCGCCATCAACTGGGAAAAGCTGTATGATGTTGGCTTCTCTCCCCTGCCCCACGGCAGCACCAAACAACGCCAGATCATCCGGTACAAGTTGCCAGACACCACATCTACTCCTGGACTTCGCGAAATGGAGGCCAAGGATGTTGATGCAACTCTCAGTCTCTTGCAGCGATATCTTGAGCGCATGGACATGGCGCAAGTATTCGACAAAACCGAGTTCGAGCACTGGATGGCGCCAAAAGAGAAGCCCAAGGAGCAGGTCGTGTGGAGTTACGTCGTTGAGGACCCCAACACTCACAAGATCACAGACTACTTCTCCTTCTACAATCTTGAGAGTACCGTCATTGGTAACAAGAAGCACAACACCATCAAGGCGGCCTACCTCTTCTACTATGGTACTGAGGTTGCATTTGAGAAAGACAATGAAAAGTTGAAGAAACGGTTGAACTCGCTAATGAAGGACGCGCTCATCCTGGCAAAGAAGGTAAGTATTCTGCCAATGCTACACAACTTGAATGGTCAGCTAACAAAGGTAGGCTGATTTCGACGTCTTCAATGCCCTCACATTACTCGATAACCCACTGTTCCTGGAAGAGCAACGCTTCGGTGCCGGAGACGGGTCATTACACTACTACTTCTACAACTATCGTGCTGCACCGATTCCTGGCGGCATCGACTCGAGGAATCAGGCGAGCAAGGACCATATGGGTGGTATTGGATTAGTCATGCTGTAACCGCTCAGTGAGTAAGCACGTCAGATAAAAGATCCCCAGTTTGCTCCAATAGGGAGTCGGTAGTATGCGGCACTCAAAGTTGACGTATACTATACATGTATGTTGTCTTTTTTTTTTCTAAAAATAAAATCTGACTGCACAGTCGCCATGTAGTTGATACCCGTTTTTTTTTTCTGATCCATCTGTGTTTTTTTCTTTTATCATTCTATGTCCTATTTTGCAAGCAGTATCAAAGAAACAACCTTTGTTCAGTCACTGCTAGACTGAAACACATTTGGCATACGTGTTGTCCAGGTTGCCATGATGTATGACCAACTCTACCATTGCATACCCTAAGCCACAGCAGTTGCCAAACTTGCTATTGGAGCATCCGTGTCCCATGGTAACCCTGAATCAGTAGCATCGTTACTTCTGCCGCTTGTGTGACACTGCCATGCAACTGCGCTTCTCCGCGGGCGTCTACACGGGGCGTGAATCATCTCGCGAATTGGAATGGGGCGATCCCGAAACACGGGCTGTTGTATCTTTGTTGTGCATGCAAAGAGTTAAAGTTGTTGTTGTTGTTGTTGTTTTTTCCCTTGCATCGCCGTAAACATTGTGATATAGTAATGTTTTATGTGGGAATCCCCGCTCACTGGACATGGACAACGCGCGGCCCCCATGTAAACCCGCAAATTCAAGAACCCTCAAACTCATAATCATTATCATGTACAAAAAAAAACATAATATCCTACACATAATCATACACTGCATTGGGCGTGCTTACGTCCGCTTCGCGTCCCCGGCTTCTTCTTGTTCCTCGTCGTCCTCCCTAACCCTGACCTCGGCCGCCTGGACAATCATCTGCGAAATGGAATTCGGCACATGGTCCTCAGTCTCATAAATGCGGTCATAGCCCAGCCGTGCCCTCAAGACCCTCCTCGCCTCTGTTAAATTCGATATGTCAGACACCCACATGACGCCGCCCAGGGCCATGATCCCCACACTAGCACAGTTCATGGTGGCGAGGTTGAAGGCCTGACACGCGTCGGCGAAGGGGCTGAAGTACTCGTGCGGGTTGGTGTTTGGAGCGAAGTAGGAGGGGGTGAGGCGGAGGTGGCGCCGGTGGATGGCGCGCCGGGTGAGGGTTGTGGAGAGGAGGAGGCAGGTGCTGCCGAGGAGGTAGATGGAGAGTTGGTGGAGGGACCGGGGGGAGGTTATGGGTGGTCGTTGGTACGTGGGTTCGGTGGGAGGTTGTGAGGGTGGAGGAGGGTTGGAGGGCGCGGAGGGAGGAGGAGAAGGAGGCGGTGGACTTGGTGCAGTGGGTGTGCGGATCATGCTCCGGATGATTGGGAGGTTTTTTAGGGTTTCCATTGTGTATGGCGGTGCGAAGTGGAAGATGTGGGTGGGTGGTGTTGGTTTAGTGGTGCATTTCCGAGATGCGTTGCGGACTCCCGAAGTGGGTTGTGGGGTTGGATGAGTGGGTTCGGGTTTGGTCGATTGTGGAACGATTGACGCTGTGGAAAGAAGGATGTCTGTATGATTCGATTTTACAAAGGAGTGCGGAGGTTCCAGAGCAATGGCGCGGGGAGTTTGCTGGAGAGCGTCACAAAAAAGTTGCGATGGGACCGCGGTTGGTGGACCCTTTGGTCTGTGCGCAGACATGCTTATGATCCCTGCAGCACGTTCATCAGTCCTTAATGTATTTGTACGTAGCTGGGCATATGAGAATCATGACCAGATCACCTGAAGAAACAGTTGGGTGGTTTCACAATGACATGATGCTTCAATTGTTTAAGTCTTTCACCGCAGCCTTTTTGTTCATTATCCTCCATCTATCTAAAATATTGGTATTGCGAGCAGACGATATGCAATAAGAAACAGATTTCCCTACTTTTCAAAGCATCAACGACTTACGCCTGTACATAATCACTCCCGAAGTTATTCAACACGATTCTGAAGTCTAATATCTCGACCTATGCACTGGCCGCTGGGGGCCCTGCATCATAGCCAAACGAGCCGGGTTCATACCAAAAGTCTCAGCTTCAGATGGCTTCTCAGGTGCCTCAGCCTCCTCTTCAGTACCAGCATCCGCGCCCTTCTTGCCAGACTTGCCCTCCTTCTTCTGTTTACGTTCACTTTGTTTCATTTCGAGCTCGGTCTTCCTGACGCGGTCGCGGGCGCGTTCGTCGTGGAGCTTCTCGTTCTTGGCTGCGATCTTCGATCTGCGGGCTTCGCTGTTGCCACCGCCTCCAGCACTGTTTCGGCTTATTAGCTTTTGCACTGACAGACTGGAAAGTACGTAGGGAGGAAGATTATCATACCTGAGTTCAACATTGATCTTTCTGCCCTCCTTCTTCTTGGGGTCAGGGAAGACGGAATGGTGGTACTTCTTCAAGCACGTCACCATACGGTCGAATCTATCAAACTCAACAAAGCATGTACCCATGAACTTATCGCTACCCTTGTATGTACGTAGACGAATCTCGATGGGCTTGATCTTTTCGAAGTGCTTCTCGATTTGCTCCTTGGTTGCAGAGTAAGGGAGGTTGCCTGGGGTTGTTGATTAGCGGTTGGTAAGCAGCGTATATCAACGACTGAACGTACCAACAAAGACAATGAAACGGCCTTGGTTGGCTTCAACTGCTGCCTCGGCTTCCTCTGCCTCCTCAGCATTTACTTCCTCGGTGATTTCTGCATCTTCGGCAGCAGCTTCGCCGTTGGTTTCAGCTGGAGCTTCACCGTTGGTTTCGGCGGCAGTCTCGCCATTAGTCTCTGTATCCTCAGACTTCTTTGCCTTCTTCTCCTTTTTATCTTTCTTCTCCTTCTTGTCCTTCTTGTCCTTCTTCTTTTCCTTCTTCTCGGACTTTGACTCAGTGTCTGCACCATTGGCCTCTACCGGGGCGGGCTCTGCTGTACCATTCTGCTCTTCGGTAGCGTCTTCCATGACCGTGTCTTCCGTCTTGGCCTCATCCTTGCTCTTTTTTGACTTTTTCGACTCCTTGTCTTTCTTTTCCTTCTTCTCCTTCTTCTTGTCTTTCTTGGCTGGCGCATCAGTCGCGTCGGGCATTGGCTCGTCGTCGTTGACGCTGATAAAGTTTTCGGACTTCTTCATCTCATCGATGAGGGCAGCCTCCTCTGCGGGGGCATCTTCGGAGGCGTCGACATCCTTGGACTTTTTGGACTTTTTGGATTTCTTCTCCTTCTTCTCCTTCTTTCCGTCTTCCACAGCCTCTTCGGTGGCGGACACTTCTACATTGTCCTTGTCCTTCTTCGATTTCTTATCCTTTTTGTCTTTCTTTTCTTTCTTTTCCTTCTTCACCTCTACAGCTTCAACGGCAGGCGCATCCGAGGAATCTTCGACCTTCTTGGACTTCTTAGACTTCTTGGGCGCATCCTCTGCTACCTCAGCATCGCGCTTGCGCTTCTTCTCGACGCTGTCAACCTTGGACTTAGACATGATGGCGGCGCAAAAATGTTGGAGAAATGCTGTAGCGTCGCGAAACGAAATTCCGAGACCTTGAACTTTTTCTGCCGAGCGGTGAGCCCGAGGGCCGTCTTGGCGCGTGGACAACGGGTGGCCGCAAAGAACATCTCAAGAAAAGGTCAAGCAATTGCAAACGACAATGCGGCCGCCGGCGCATCTGGCAAAGCTGCCACGGGGCGCTTTGAAGCCCCCGAGAAATCACACGTCCAATCCTCCTTGTCCGCGCCAATTCTCCTACAGACACCCCCGCCAGTTCCTCGTTGCCCACCAGGGCTCTGCGCGGCCACAACTCCCGTTCCTATACCCCTCCGGCCAGCACCTTTCCAACGGCCAGCTCCAGCGTCTATTCTCCATCAGCGCGAACCACAAGAAATTTATCAAAGAGACTGCAAAATTGAGTGTGCGATACAGCATACTCATCTTCCTACTTACGTCATGCTTTAGCATTGCAAGCTTGGGCATACTGAGCGAACAGCAAGAGCGGGCATTTCCGTCGCCACATGAATGGAGTCTGATTACAAGGTTCAGATTTAGAAGAGGAAAATGGTGGCAGGTTCCAGAAAACAACGAGGAAGAGGGTTTCCCGAATTGGGCAAGAGTCTACTCAGAGCTGGAATATGCGCTGAATCGGCTCGAGAATCCAGACAAGGACGGAGCTGGTCTTGTGGAGCAGGAAGATGGAGGAATACTTGTTCCAGGAGTAGGCAAGGCAGGATTTGATTTATCAGCCAAAAGCGAGGAATGGCGGCAAGGCTATTATGAGGTGCTCATGGGCATGGCCAGTGCCGCAGAGCGATTAGATGGATGGGTTACAGACAAGTGGAGAAGGAATGTCTGGGCACCAGAATTCGTTCCATCGGCCACAAATCCGCGACCGAAGGCTGTGCTTCCTGGAATGCCAGAAGTACCCGACGAAGAGCATCGTGTACCTGCTGCTGAAGCACCCGAGTCTTTTTACCTCAAGATCATCACATCCAAGGGATTCACTACATACCAAAGATTATCTGCTGCCTTGGGATATGCCGACTGGCTCAGCTTCCGAAAGCTGCCAGACTCTGCTGAAGAGATGTATAGATGGGCACTAGATATTGCTATCTCTGGCCTCCCGACCTCAGAGCCTTCTGCGGTCATTGATCGAGACACTGGTATCCTATCTTCCACCGCACTAAAGAACTCAATCACTCCAAACGTTGTCTACGCAGCTACGAATTTGGCTATATTCCTCGCTGAGCAAAGAAGAATCGCATCCGCATTACCAATCTTTGTATCTCTACTCCGGGCTCGCATCGGCGCAGACGAGGCCCGTATTCCCACCATTGCACCACAAAAGGATTCGAGTTTGGTGGGCACATTAGTCAGTCTTCTCCGTGAGCCAGATTACCCCCCGGTTCCGCCCTCCGGAGACGAACCTCTTCTGCGCAAAGAAAGTGACCGCTGTGAGGAAGCCGTGCTTAAGAACTACATTGGTGAAATACTCTTCGCTACTGCAGGGTCATCTTCTACCCAGCGCCAGCAGGGCCTTTCTTGGGTCCGCGACGGAGTCTCAACATCTAAGATCGCGCAATCTCTAGATGCCATACGTGTTAACGACGATCTCCGCAAGAAATGTGAACAGTGCGAGGAGGTTGGCTTGGAATCGTGGGGAAAGATCATGACTTATCTTGCTGCCGAAGCTAGAGAGAATCGCGACAAGGCAAAGAATGGAGGTTTGGCAAATTTGATCTGGAAGGTCAAAGGGACTAAAACACTAGATGAGGAAGTGGAGAAGCTGGAAGGCGAGGAAGAAGGCGTCACACTCAGGCTGAACAAACTGAGGAGTAAGATGCTGAAGGAAGAGTACGAAGAGATGGATCGCAAGTATGCACGGACTTTTGTATTCTAGTAGCCGACTGTACCATATATTCCCCAGCAGGAGATAGTTTCAAGGACTACGGGAAAGTTTGAAGCTTCACGTTGTCTTAACTATCAGACCTTTTTTGAACACTGCTTCCCTCCACGTGTAAATTGATTCGCTCTCGGTAAAGTCCTGCTGCAGTGTGATGTGTGAGCATGGGATAGTGCATGTGCGCAGAACGACTGTTCAGGGGCATCACAAGGCATAGTTCTCATATTCGCCAACCCATTTGGGAAGGTCACACTGTTCGGCTATCAACGCTCCTGTTTACTCCACACCTGGGATTCTCGTTTCGCTCGTGAGCGCCATAGAGTCAGCAGACACGGCTGCTGCAGACACCCCTTTTCTTTTTTTTCCCAAGGCACAATAGACGTCGGCGGTCGTTATGCGCAAAAAGGCAACTCACCGCGAGTTTCTTGGCCACATTTCAGCTCGGAAATCGCCAGCTCCTAACGTGGATATGCTTTTCGCGCTTCATTAATCCATCGGCTACGCCTTTGCCCTATCAAAGTGGCTGCATCCCTGGGCTGAGATTGCCACATACAGCCACCAGCCTTGCATTAGGGCCCGCGCACATGGCGGCCAACCATGCACGCCACATCCGCCTGCCACCACGAGTAGGACAGGACCCGATTATTTGCCGTTTTCTTTGCTCAGGTCTCCACGTGTGATTGCGTCTTTAGTTATTGGTAGGGCCAAAATGCTCATCTGGACGGAGTCAGCGAATGGGAGTGCAGCGAGGGTATATGCATACAGAGATGGGTGGAACTTGCATGTAAAGGTGTGTGTGTGGAAGCAATAGTAGGGGGATAATACGTCTATGCAATGCACTGCGAGAGCAGGCTAAAGGAGTTCACTCAGCTGAATGGGTCTTGTGTGCAAGAGGTGCAGATATCATATAAGATAGCCGCCATG